AACTGATTTGACTTCTTAACCTAACACTGCTATGTCTACAATGAATTGTAGTGAGATGATCAAAAGATGGATGTTTTTACTGTTTGTGATACCTATCACATACTATCCTTAAAAATAATCATATCATAAGGAGGCTGATTCATAATGGGGTTGGGGTGCATGGGAGGATTAAATAGACTCTAGACAGGGCAAAGAGGTGGGAAAGTAGGGGGGGCAGGGGTTAGAAAAGATGGTGGAATGAGATGAACATCATTACATTAAGTACATGTATGAAGATATGAATTGTGTGACTACTTTGTGTACAATCAGATATGAAAAATTGTGCTGTATATGTGTAATATGAATTGTAATGCATTCTGCTGTCATATATAACAAATTAAAATTTTAAAAAATCATATCAATTTACATTTAAACATAAAAGGATATAAGTCGATTTTTTACTGCCTTCTCAACAACTTTGAACATTTTCCATTTAGCTTTAAAAAATGTTATAAATTTGATAGACTAAAATTTACAGCAACCATATGTCAAAGACAATTCAGTGCTATAATTAAAATCTTGGTAATCTTTTTTATAGGCAATATTTCCTGTTTTTATGAATAATTGAAGGACACATCTGTCTTTACTTAGAACTTGACTAATTTAGGCTGATTTTCTTTTTTTCCTTCAATTCTTTTCTGATGTCATAAATATGAATAGATGATGAAGATGTATCTCTTGGGTCTTGATATCTATGCTGCAATATTTTTGCAGCACAGATAACCTTTCTTATATTTTTCACTAGAAGTGTATTCTTTCCAGTAAGATTGTGCAGAGTGGGCAGACTAGACTGAATGCAGCGGAATGTGCTCACCTTGTCATCCACTAGAAGCCAATCATTGGTCTGTTGAATAATACAAATGTCTGAATTTCTTTTTCATTCTTCGCTTCCATTGGTAAGCCACAACAGAACAAATTGAGTGAAAGAAAACACAAAAGAAATATTAAACAAGAATTCAGCTTAGAGTCATTGATGGAAAAATGCTTATCTTGATAATAATAATGGTTTTTAGATTAATGAGAGAAAACTAAAGGACCAAGCAGCCTATAAGTTTGAAAGTGTCAGGATAACACCCAGTTAATGGAATGACAACAAACAAACAGCCCAAAAACAACAAAGAGGAGACAACAGTACTCACTGCCATGCTTCCTCTTCCTTCCATTCCAATCTTTGCACCAAACAGAAGAAACACTTTTCTGATGGAGTGTGATTCTGGGACTCCCATCATGACCATGTTTGTGGGTCACACCAAGATCTCTCTCCAACACCATTTCAGGAAGATACAAGCTAAGTAAAAAGTGACTGCTATGTAAAAGGGTTCAAGACAGTCATTTGTAACTCCTTTAACCACATAGCATCTTAAGCCTTCCCATGTAGAGATTCCTGAGCCACCAGAGGGGCTGTACTAATGTGTGTATTTAAAGTCTCTGCTCATGGGTGCACATTTTATGACTTTGTTTGCTTGCTTATTTATTTTTCTATCAGCTGATGTGGAAAGCTGATCCAGAGCCCATTAAGCATTCTCCCTCTCCTTTTCCTATTTTTATACATTTCTTCCTCTTTTCTTCTCAGCCATGATGTTTGAGCACTTTTATCCTTTGGCTGATGTCAATGGATATCATAGGAGAGGGATGCTCTTGGATCTGAGGATAGATTGTGCCCTACATCTCATTTTCTTGGAGGTACTTTGCTAGGTGGATGGGAAGTGGTGTGTACATCATAGATCTAAATGGTATCTTGATTTCCACTTGCTGTAGCCCATGTATGTTTTATCCCTAATGGACAAGCCATAGGAAAGAGTAATTCTCATTTGTGGTAAGTTTTAGACATGCCAGTGCTCTTAGCCATAAATATTTCTAACTCCCAGTTTCATAACTGGAAGAATCAATGTATGATATGATAAAATTACTACTTTTTACCTCTATTCTTCCTGGTAAATCATCCAGTGGACAGAACTTGTGTCACAGGGCAGTAACCTGCCATGAAACTAAGGCAGCCTTGGAGGCTCCTTATTCTCAAAGGATGTAGAATGCACAGAAATTAAACATCAGGAAAACTGAGACTGTGATATGGAACTAACCAGGGATTGGGAGCCAATTTGGAATCTGCACATTATGGTTGGATAACATTCTGAGTTTTATTCCAATGACATATTTCCATTAGATGTAGGCTGAGAGAATGGAAGAACAATCCCTTCCTCCATGGGGAAAGTTCCCGTTCAGTTCTGTGTTGCACAGGTCTTTGTTCCTAATATATTTAAATTTTCCTAATTGGAGTAATCAATTGTGGTGTCTTCACTTTGTACCCTTCAAGCTTCCTTCTCCCAAACCTTCAATTTTGCCCCACTCACCCCTCCCACCTCCCCTGATACTAAATATATTTGCCTCAGCCTAGAGTTTCAACCCTAACATCATCTTGATTAATCCAACAGCAACCCAATCAGAGCAGGTGGGCTTCCCAGTTTCACTGCATGTGGGATAGAGGTTAGAGGGGGTTGGATAAAGACCATCTTTCTGCAGGAATCTGGACTTTACTAAAGTAAGAGGAAGTAACATCATAGGGGAAGGTTTGGAGAACAGGACAAGTGAGTAAGGGACAGTCTCAGAACTTACAGACACACTGAAGCCATGAACATCTAGGGGAGGCTGGTGATGTGCAGCTGGTCCATGGCCAATACACACCCTAACACCATACCCTGCTCTAGAAGGTATGAAGAAGGAACCAGGAGTGACACTTGAAGGAGAATACTCTGGAAGGAGAGCCACTACAGAAGAATGGCATGCTTATAGCTCTCTTTTCAGTGTCTCAGCCCCTGGGATTTCTCAGAATCATTATGTGACAGAAGGAAGAGGAATAGTAGCGATACTAAAGACACCATCTGTGTACTGTGATTGCTATGGGCTATGTGTTAGCCAGCTTCCCGTCTCTAGAACAAATACTTGAGATAATTAATTTTTAAAGAGACAAAGGTTTATTCTGGCCCATAGTTTCAGAATTTTGAGTCCATGATTGATTGGCACCATGGCTATAGGCCTGTGGCAGTACAGCAGAAGCATGCGGAAACTCATGGCAGAGCCAAACTGCTCACCTTCACCCAGGGAGCAACAGAAAGAAAGAAGAAGGGGCCAGGGTCTCACCATTCCCTACAAGGCACACCCCCAATGACCTGAGGACTTCCCACCAGGCCCTCCCTGTTAAAGACTCCAGTACCTCCCCATTGGGCCACTGTAGGGACAAGCCTCTATCACACGGACCTTTGGACCTCTAAGATCCAAACTGTAGGAGGTTTTTTCTAAAAATATTATTTATTTATTTTAATTAGGTATATATGACAGCAGAATGCATTTTGATTCATTGTACACAATTGCAGCATAACTTTACATTGCTATGGTTGTACAAGATGTAGCGTCACACCATATGTGCAGTCATACACGTACCTAGGGTAATGATGTTATTATGTTGGTCTGTGTTTAAAACCTCATATCTATTTTTGCTTTAAAATAGAAGATTTTCAGTGGGGTTAAAATTCAGCTTCAGTATCACTTTTCACTTGTCAACTTTGACTTCTGGGTTTTACTTTGGGGTAATATTTTCTCATGAATGTCGAAAGTGTTTCTCAGGTCTTATAATCAACATGTAAAACATTTAGATTTGAATGAAGGTGTGCCTTTCTATGTGAGCTCTGCCTAAGAGCATCTGAGGATGCTATATTAAATACCAGGACAGTTTGCTGCTAATCAGCCTAATATAATCTATTATTTAAAGTACATACAGACCAGAAAGCTCAGGTTTTATTGCTCAGTGGCCAAATTTGTGGGATTATTTTGGAGCAAAGCAAGTATTCACTCTTCCAAATGTGGCCGGGGAAGGCTAGCTTATCTCAGGACCTCCTCTGCGGCTCAGTAGGTGCCTTTCTTCCTGCTGGCAATGTACCAGCATCACAGGTGCCTTCATCTTAGATATTTGCAAATATTGCCTAAAAACACTTGCACTGTGGACTTTGTTTGGAAAGTTAAAATCCTTGATCAGCAAGCAACACTTATACTCTAGTTCAAAAAAATAAGTGAATAGCAAGTCATGTCCATGTGGAATGTGAAGGAACTTGTTGTCAATCATAGAGTTCTTTTGAGATCAAATGCTGCACCTCTCACTGCAATGTCACTTCTCCTGGATGTTTCAGCAGATACCGGGTCCCTGTTTAAAGGGGCAGAAAGACTTTATTCTTTGTTATCATTGATGGTTGGGGACAGTTTGGTATCAGGAAGTTCAGCTTGACATGGCAATTTAGATTTGCCAGAACACTTTAATCTCCATTCCTGTTGTTATTCCTCTCCAAACTGCATTGCCTTATTGCAATATCAGGCAGTTTTCTTGGGCAAATGAATTTTCTGTTTTTGAGAAACACACACAGTTTTCTGACTGAGAATCTCACTTTTCTTTTTCAGTAGCTGTTTTTCTCTCAGGAGGAGCTTCATTTCTGCTTCTGCATAGGGAGGATGGGCAAGCTTTTATTAAGTCATTTGAAATTTTACTAATGGTGCTGATTTAGTTAATGATTAAGCTTCCATTCTTTAAATGTTTTCCCCTTACATGTTAAATCAAACGTCTACATTTCAAAGTTGTATAGTGTAATATATGAAAACATCCATGAGAATATATTTAATGAAGCTCTGATTTCTGTATTACTAAAACAAGCAAAGTGTTGAATTCTGAGAACAAGAAAGAGACAATATTAGGCTTTTAATAATGGCATCTTAACTCTTTGTAAATCCATATTACCTATAATATATAATACAGATTAGCATTTTACAACCAAAAAAAGTAGCATGATGTGACTAATAATACTGAGACTGGACATTTTTTCATATCAAAAATCATAAGCTTAAATTACCACAAGTTTTCTCAATCAAAGCACAGCACAGAAGATACAACAGGTGCTGCCTAAGTACACTGCTCAGGTTGCACAAGAATGAAAAAGTCTTTTTAATCAGGATTTTAGGATCTCCTCTGTCTCCATTTAGTATCTGCTAGCCAAGTCACAGAGACCTCCCAGGGGATAGCAACAGATGATCTCCTTGAAGGTTTTCCTCAGTTCTTGACTCCGGAGTGCATAAATGAGAGGGTCAATGATTGAATTACACATGATCAGTATGAGATACAAGTTAAAGTGAGACATGAAGCACACACAGTATGGATTCTGGGGGCAAGAGATGTAGAATATTAAGTGAAGGAAGAACGGGGCCCAGCAGACAACAAAGACCCCAATCAGAATGGTCAGCGTAATGGCCCCCTTCATGTTGGCCCCTTGGCGGATGGCGCCCGTGCCTGGGAGGACAGCAATCCTCTTAATGTGAAGTCTGGCCATGAGGAACATGTGGACATAGAGGGAGGCCATGAGAGCCAGCATGGTGAAGAACATGGTGATGAGGCAGATGATGACAGCGCTGCTGTCTGAATAAATGATGAACAGCACCCCCGAAACCGTACAAGCCGCCCAGATGCAGCTTATGGTGATCCCGACCCGCTTCACGGTCATTATGTTATGGTACTGCAGAGCATAAAAGATGGTAAAGTACCTGTCCACCGCAATGGAAAGCAGGCTGCAAATTGATGCAAGCAGAGAGCTACAGATCACCGAGTCAATGACATTATCAATATTCACCGTGAAACTCTGCGCGTCCGTGTCTGTACTGTTTAACAGGGTGATGACTATGGTCTCTGATCCATTGGAAACGCTCACCAGCATATCGGCCACAGCCAGGCTACAGATGAAAAAGTACATGGGTGAGTGCAGATTCTTGTTCTTGGCTATGGCCACGATCACTAGAATATTCTCCAGCAAGCTAATGACACCCAAAGTCACAAACACCTCAGGGGAGACAAAAAGTTGCTCGTAGCAACCCCCATCCGAGTAGCCCTTCCCCAGGGTCTCGCTGGCGTTGCTGTGCAGTCCGTAGCTGCTGCGGTTCCAGAAGTGCAGAGAGGTGTGCATCCCACGGGGGAGGGTGGAGTTCATCATCTGGTCGCAAAGTGGACTCAAATCCCCCTGGAGTCGAGGTCCCCTCCCGGGTCAGGATTCTCCGTTATTTTCTCCCAGACGTGATCAGTCTGAAATTTAGGAGGCGGCGATTGGCATTCTCGCTGGGGATGCAGCCGCAAGCCTCACAGCTGGAAATGGAGTTTTTACTCTCTTTCAGGTACAGCTCTGACCGTTATCACGTTAGAATCTTAGGCTTCGAGATGCTCATTCTCCGTAGACAGCTGTTTGCTTTTTGTTCTCACTTCTGCTTAAACTTTAGCCTTAGGCATTCGGGTCTTTTCAAAATGATTTTCCGGGGAGCGGCTGAGCCATTCCACAGCCTCTGAGAAGGGTCAGCTCCCAGCCTCAGCGTGGCTTGGAGCGTGAGAAGTGAGGAGCCAGGATGCCGCCGCGGACTTTTATCGTGTGTGGAGGAAAAAAACCCTGAAGCCTGGCTCCTCCTCTGCTTCCTTCTGACCAATCCAAGTGCAGTGCAAGTCCCCAGCCGTTCAGGATCCAGCGCCACGCGGATTCACTTGCAGAAGCTTGTGAAACCGGGGACCAGCAGAATGTGAGGCATGGGATTTCCCTTCTCAAGTTTTCAAGGAAAACAGTCCCTAGAAGACATTCTGTGATGTCACAAGACGTTCTCTGAAAGCAGCCAGGCTTACTCCTCCTTAAAATAGAGGTGTGCGTGTGTGTGTGTGTGTGTGCGCGCGCGCGCGCGCGCTGAAGCGGAAAACCCTGTCCTATGTCCTGAAATCCCCCAGGATACTGAATTTATCTCCATAATTTCTTTGAATTAAGGACACAGGCAGAAATGCTTTAATTTAAAATACCCGAAATACGGTGGATATGATCAAAGTGTGTATTTGCATGTACAAATATACACAATGAAGCCCTTATTCTGAATAATTAAAATGCATTAATGAAAAATTAAAAAAATCTGAAATAGATAGACCTTATAATACAGGCAGGCATGCTACGGATGAAAGAACTATATAGATAATTACAGTTTGGCAAGAGGCCCAAGAAAGGGTTCATTTATTGTGTACTAAAATCTGATATTTCTCCCTTGCAGAGTTTCCGTTATCAAACCTGGAAAAGTTTTCATTCACAACATTTAAAGTCCGAAGGCATTATTATAACCATATTTGCTCTGAATACAGAAAGAAAGAAAGAAAGAAACAAAGGCAATATTCTGTTTTCTTTTTAAGGCAACATTCTGCTTTTGTTGTTGTTTGTTTACTTTTACTTTCACCGCTGAAGACTTTGTAAATTAGACCTACAAACCTTGACAACTGTATCTGTTCAAGCCAAGACTAGTCGATGCAAATTATTAATTGTAGTGGGAATATTTTGCTTAAGCTAGTTTCAAAAGAGTGTAACAAAGTTACTTTTGAAATTCCTTAAACTCCAGGTTAAGGCATTTTATGTATTGTCATTTTCTTGTTATGATTACTTCCCCCCCCCCCCAGTGAAGACCTTTATTTTCATTTCATAGGAATCATTTGTTAAAATAGGAAGAGACTTTTCTTTAATTGGTGGGAGAAGGGATGTCTGATGACAAGATGGCAGGAACTGTGGGGGAGGGGTTTTCTGGAATCTTTTCTGTGAGGGTTGGAGGACGCAGATGATGAATGGATTCTCTTTCCTCATCCTTCTCCTCCTCTGTTTCCCCACATCTCACATTGCCTACTCTCCTTAGGGCTGGGGGCCTGGTTACATGGAGTCCTGGCTCCTGAATGCTTAAAGGAAGGTCCAAGGCTGAGCAGCAAAACACAAAGGGAGAAGACAGAAGGCCCCGGGTCTCCATCAGGTTGGGGGGTGATCATGGTGCGCTTAGGCTTCCTTCCAAGGGCGGCAAGGGAAGAATCTGCTCCAGGCCCTCTCCAGAGGTCCTCTTGTCCTGTGTCCTGTGTTCAGGTGGTCTGCTCTTCTTTTAATTTTTTATTTGTTTTAATTAGTTATACAGTGGAATGCATTTATGCACTTTGATATGTGTAGATGGGATATAATTTCTCATTTTTCTGAGTGTACAATGTTGCAGAATCACATTGGTCATGCAGTCACATATGTACATAAATAATGTTTGTTTTGTTCTACTGTCCTTCCTATCCCCACACCCCCTCCCTTCACTTCCCTCTATCTAATCTAAAGTAACTCTATTCTTCTCTAGTGCCCCCGACCTTATTGTGAATTAGCATCTGCATGTTAGAGAAAACATTCGGCCTTTGTTATTTTGGGATTGCCTTATTTCGCTTAGCATAACATTCTCCAACTCCATCTATTTACTGGCAAAGGCCATAATTTTGTTCTTCTTTAAAGCTGACATCTGTCCCTGGTTTGTAAGTGCTGCTCATAGAGTATAAAATAGGGGAGAATTTTTTAGAGTTAATTCTTAACTCTCAGCTATCCTCAGGACCTTTATCTCTTTCTCTTTCGCGACAGACAATGCTATAAGCATTTTTTCCTGAGCATGGAGCCAAATAAACAGATTCCATCCATTTCTGGAATGGAGTGGGGCCTTATGCCTGAATTCCAGCTAGTGGAATGTGGACGGAGCAAGGCTCACTATGTACCTTCCACTCGCCGGCTTTATTCTCGCATTTTCTCTGTCAAGCAGATGAGTACAGAGTATCTCAGAAGCCTCACGTTGTAAATGAAAGAAGCCCAAATTCCACAAGAATCCTTTCTTTTCCCTATTTTGTATTTACCTCAGCAGCAAATTATCTAATCAATATACAATATAGAAGAAATCTTTCAAATTATTAAGCATCAGATAGTTGACTCTGGGCAATCCCCTTCCTGACTCAACTCTTGCTGAGTGCTCCTGACTCCCGTTGATGGCACATTGTCCCATTGGCTCACCTTAAAATTCACTTTCTGAGGCAGATGGAGAAAAGTCAAAGACATTTGACTCAGAAAGCCCTAAACTGTCTAATTTATCCATCTGATTGGAAGTGCTTTTCGGGTCTTATCAAAGAATGTATTGCCCAATTCAAGGTAATGAAGTTTTACACTTCTGATATTCTGTATTTGATGAGACTCATCTTTTCCTTTAATTCTTTAGATATTGTTTCCACTAATACTTTGAACATGTTTATATTTATTGACTAAAAGTGTTTATATATTGAGTCTAATATGTAGGCTTCCCCAGGAATAATTTTTATTGACTGTTTTTTCCCTGCTCCTATATATATGACCCTACTTATTTATTTGAAAGACTCCTTTTTTTTTTCAACTGAAATCCTAAATAATGTAATGTAACATTTCTGGAATTCAGATTCCCTTTCTTACTCAGGGTTTGTTGCTATTGTTGGTTATAGTTTGCTTAGCAGTGACTTTTCTGAGAGAAATCTGTAACGCCTGTCTTCTGTCTTGTGTGCCCACTGAAGTCTCTGCTCTGTTGGCTTATTGGTCAGCTAGTGATTGGACAGCGTTTCCTCACATGCCTAGAATCAAGAAGTCTCCCAGTCTTTGCTGAGGGGCTCTTTGTGTGTTGGGGAAACACAGCATTTGACAACTCTGCCTTAGCTTTGCTTTCTGTTTGCACAGAGCTACAGGTGCAAGCTTAGGGTTTTCTCAGGTCTTTCCTATGCATACACACTGCCCTACAGATACGCACAGCATTAGGGCCCAGCAATGTGTCAGAGCTTTTTATTTAAACCCCTATGAATACCCAACTAGCTTTCCTTTCAATTTTTTTTGGATAGTTATTTCCCCCAATTTTTATCCACTGCCTTAGACAGCCATGATGTTCAGCAACTATCTGGAGGTTTCAACACCGTCCCAGGGAAAACTCTGTTCTCAGTGGGGGAGTTCTGAGTCAGGCCAGATGAGAAAGCCCTGCCAGTGGAGTGATCACCCTTCTGAGGTAATGGATGGGCTCTGAAGGAGCTGCCAACCATTTCTCCCCCTCTGCTTCCTCAGTGACTGGTTTTCAGTATTTTTGACAAGCTGCTGGTTTTCAAGAATACCAACAGAGCTGGTAAGTGGAAGGTGAGATTAGGTTCAGCAAATGCTACAAAGTTTACTCTTCTTATTGCAATTCAGCCATTTTCTTGACTAAATACTCCCTAGATTTCTTAAAGCCCTTGTTAATTTTCTGAGTCCTGAATATGTTAATTCTGACAAATTTTTGCTATTGGTGTGTTTGACCAGACAGTTTTCAGTGCCCTTACTTCAGCATTCTCAGTAATATGACTTTCCATTCATTGATTTTTATCTTTTTTTTAATATTTATTTTTCAGTTTTCGGTGGACACAACATCTTTATTTTATTTTATGTGGTGCTGAGGATCGAACCCAGGACCCCGTGCATGTCAGGCGACTGCGTTAACGCTTGAGCCACGTCTCCAGCCCTGATTTTTATCTTAAAAAATCAAATTATATTGATTTATGCCAATCTTCTCCCTTAGCAGACTATTGATGAACAATTTAATATTTCATACTTAATCTAAATATTTTATCAGCTTTCATATGAAAAATAGAAGAATTAAAGAATTGGTAGAAAAGTTGAATAAAATAAAAAAATATATTTGGAAACAATAATAGTTTAAGTTAATACTTGAGAACAAAATTATTGCCTTTTTTTTTACAAAAAATGGGTTTTAATTATGAACATGAGAATCACACTAAAATCTCAGAAAATTATGTACATATACAATCTCAAATTTAATTATTTAGTGTATATTTATAAGACATTATTTGTATGGTCAATTATGCTGAAGAAAGTATCTCCAAGGAGGAAATTTATTTGTCTTCTGTGGTTTAGTTCTCTGTACCCAAAATAAGCTAAACCAGCAATGTTAGATATATGGATAGGATTTTTGAAATTTTATTGCAGGTGATTTTTAAAATTCACACAGAATTGAATTAGATCAGAACATTTCTGTTCTGAGAAAAACTTTGTCTTATATTTTATAACAACAGATATAAAACAGTATTATACAGAAATGTTTACCAAACTGTGCTACTTGGAACTTGGTTTTTAGGGAATGTTAGAAGTGTTTTCCAACTTGAAATAAATGAGAAGATTCCAAAGTCAAATAATTTTTAGAAAGTATTGAAAACTTGTGTCTCTCTTGAAATTTCAAACTTTGCATGAACATATAGGGTTTCTGAAATTTCCTACTGTAAGAAAATTACTTAGCCTGCTTACTTCCTAAACTTACTGGAACATAGGGTGCTCCTTTTCTCATTTTATTTTACTATTACATTTATATAACATACTATAACTTTGTTCTAAGAAAGCTTTATTTCTTCCTCTTTAATTATACTGCATCTATGTTACCTCGGAGATCTGAACTGCTGGTACAAGAAATCC